TTGCATTCTGTATTTTATCCATCCAGTGTGGCTTCAGGCTAACTTTAGAAATGTCGAATAAATGTCCTTCCTGGTGGTTGGACCATTTCCTCCCTGAGCTGTACGCTGCAGATACAGACTGGATGAAAGTACTAGTGAGTGTCAGGGTTAATAACTGGAGGATTTTTAGCTGCAGCTGCTCTCAACACACCTGCTCCACATGTAGGAGGTTTCTTTATGAAGTTATCATCTCAGCACGAGTGACGGTAAGAAAAAAGCGAGAGCCGAGGCATCTTCATCCTCTGATGTCAGACGATGAAGAGAAGGAAAAAATAGATAAAGTCTACAGGGAAGAGCAGAGATAGATCAGAGAAGAAGAAGAGGAAAGAGAGGAAGAAGAAGCTGCCAATCAGCCACCTGCAGAGAGAGAGAGGGACTCTGGAGATGTTCAAGAGCAGAAGAAATATCAGGTTTTCAGAAAAACTTCTCTGTATTTTTATACACGTATGGAGATTTACAAGTGTGTGAGTTAAACCACAGACTCTTCTGTGATAGGATTGTGGACCATCGTTTTCTGTGGTTTTTAAAATTCAGGTGTGAGTCTGTATCTACCCCCAGATTCCTGCCTTGGTCTGCGTTTTTTAGCTGTAATATTTGACACTGAGTTATAATCTCCTCCTCTCAGCTCAAAAAACAACTACCTCTGTTCTGTTTAAGTAGTGGAAATTAAGACACATCCACTCATTTATGTATTAAAGGCACTTACTCAGGGATTGATTGGGACCATGGTCTTCTGTTGACAGTGTAACTTACAACTGTGAGTCATCTGCATAGCCACAGCGACTTATTTTGGTCTTTTGAATAATCTGAGCTCGGGTCGAATACAGTTTCTTGTTAAAATAAACATTGCATTGTCCATGTGGGGATACGAGAGCTGCCAAAAACAGTGAAAATCAATCAGGAGCTTGAAGTTACACTTTATTTTTCTAGTATAAATTACTATATTTTTTGTCAAAACCCAATATATGTTTGCAGAAAGGGAAGGAAGTCCTACACACACTTTTCACACAGCGCCAATCCAGCCATATAGGACACAGTGACACACAAACATATACACACACAAACATGTACACACACCATTCTACCTCCTTCAAAGGATAATTGACTGCACACTCATCCTCACGCCTCTTTGTTATATCAGAAACCTGCTGCCTGAGGAGATAAATAAAGTTATGTGTGTGTGTGTTCGTGTATAAGTATGTGTTTGTGTGTAAAAATGATTTCCCAGACCTGCAGGAAACCAAAACAAAGGCACACAAAGATAAATGATCCTTTTACAGTTTTATTTTCTGCTGCTGGTGAAAAAACCCAGCTCCTCTCTCACTGCTGCATTAACAGGCCCATGGAGCGTGCTCAGTAGAGGTCCTGGTTGACAAAGTTTATTAGTGTACCGTTACATATGGAAATCGAGTGTTTGTTTACTGGAAAACAGCTGTAAGCCTCATTAATACTGATCGCTGTGTTTGGCTGTAGGGAATCTTAAAGGAGCATTCTGTAAAATTACTGGGTAAAAGTCCTTTACTTTAAACCCAAACCAGCAGCACTGATGTTAAAAAAGCTTCTTCACTGCAGCAGGAGAGGCTCCCAGTTCATGAACAGACTGTGCAGACGTGTGCAGAACAGAAATGGTCCATCACGTGGACCCTCGAGGCCTCAAACATACGACAAAGTCACCTTCCTGTATGTGCGTGCGTGTGTGTGTGTGTTCATTAAAATGAGCCTCTCAGGTGAAACTCAGGTATTAGATACACATTACTCTTTAAGTCTGGAGGCCTTTTGCAGAATTACACTCAGAGATGGTGTTGTTCTCTGGCGTTTTAAACTGTTTATTTTTGATTTTTCAGGTGTCCTCTTTAGTGTTTTATAAATACTCCATTTAAATCTCTGATCTCTGTCTTCACTGCAGTGTATCAGCAGGTGTAAATGTTACCTGCATCATTCATCTACCTCCATGTCAGAGCGTCCTCAGGCAGAATAATGAACCAACCAGCAGCCAGAGTAGCAGCTCTGTCTTCATCTGTGTGTGTGTTGATGTGTGTGAAAATGAGTATCAGCACACAAATGAACACAAATGAAGACGTTCAAATTTCTGGGTCTGAAGGGATAGTTCTCTTTTTTTTCAGGGGGGGGGGTTACAACAGTTACTTGTCAGTGTTAAAGGGATATACCAGCGTAAAATTAAGGTAGGGTCAACACACTGAGTTAGACATCCTGTTGAGAGATGAATGTTGCCGACCGCTTGCTTCTCTTGTTATATCAACTTCAGGTCAGACACGGTAGTTCTTCTGCCTAAGCGTCTTGGTCTGATTGCATTTCCACCGCTGCAGTCGATGGACTCGCCCAGAGGTCTCCATAGAAACAAGTGGCTGCTGGAAGAGAGTAGGTGAGTTGTGTTTAGTCTCTTTGCTAAAGAAATCAGGCAAAGCAAAAAATATTTTTGGTGGCCATGTCCTGTTGATGAAGTTAGGTGCTGTTCTGAGCATTATTTGTGGCTATAGAGTGGCTTTTTTGGTTGAGCGCGTGGCCCTCTATATTGCTATCTGCGGTCGTTACTAAAGTTGGTAAAACTAGAGAAGCAAGCGATCGTCAACATTCATCTCTCGACGGGGTGTCTTACTTGGTGTTACAGTGTGTTTGACCCTAAATTAATTTAAACCAGATTATCCCTTTGAGAGTATTGTAACTTCATTCCTTGTCATATCGTCACCTTTTGTTCTCATTCATGCTCTCAGTAATCTGTTGGGGCTCCTTCGCTCAAATTCCTGCATCAGTGTGACGTGTCATGGAGTCAGTCTGTCTGTGTCTCTGCTGGGGGTCTTACTGAAGTCCAGGTCTCTCTGATAGCTCCTTCAGCTGGCCTGTATTGTTGCTCTGGTGTCTCTCATCATCCTCTTGATGATGTGGGTTCAGGTCAAACCAGATGCACAGTGATACCAGGGTTTTTCTGCTGGACAGGTAAACCGCTTTAACAAAGTAAGCCTAGTGTCTGTAACAGAAGTTTCTTGTCAAATGGGACCTGCCGTGTGTTGTAGCGTCGCTAAACTGTTTACCTCGGGTCCTGGACTATGTCCTTTTATGCTAGTTTGAGAAGTCCTGGAAACATTGTGTTTTCTGTTAGTCTGTTGGCATCTACAGTAGCACCAATGCTTTTTACTTTATGTTGACTGGGCCTGCATGGTTGGGAGTGGTAGAGTTTACATTCAAGATTTCTCCCAAGAACTGGCACTTCCTCAGGTCCTGCCTACCGCACCTTTAAATAAACAGATTTCAGACTTCTTGAGCTGATATTTTTCTTTGTATCAGTCTGTAGAGGCCATGTTCATAACCTCCTCTCAGACCATCTTTGTGTTAGAATAGATTGAATGAAGCAGTCGTCGATCTCTAATTATGAAATCCAATTTAAAACAGCCTCCGTCTCACTAATGGACTTTAATGGACTTGTCTTCATCCATTAAGAGTCCACACATACTTAACACACACACATGCACACCTCACTCATGTTCACAGTCTTAACAAGGGGCTCTGCATCATTAATGATGTCATTTTACATGTCAGACCAACCTTCATGTTACATACAGATGGCCTTAAACCTCTAACAGTGACATTACCTCCTTAATACCTTTCTACAGTGCAGGAGAGAGAACTGTTCAAATGTCCTTTAAAATTAAACCAACAATGCAAGAGTACTGTAAAACCTGAAATATAAGAGACCATCAGATCTTTAGGGACTCGCAGAGGGTAGAAAGTTAAAGCTGCCTTATAAATCATGTCATCTATGTGTCGTTTTATTTCCCCATATCTTGTTTTACCTCAGGCCTCCCACGGATCTGTGTTTGCTGCCTTCATAAATCTTTCCTTGTTTCATCACCAGAACCTCTGCTCTTTATTTTCCTTCAGATCAGCTCAGATGGTCTGTCCACTCAGTTTTCTGTTTCTTCACTCAGATGAATCACTGACATCAGAAGCTCATTAATATTCATGATGAAGTTTGATGCAGGAGCAGATAATGACCAATCAGCTGATCTTAACCTGCAGGGTCACCTCACGTCTGTCAGAATCACTTATATAAAGGAGGACGTCCTTTAAGACATTTAATGATCAGAGTCAGCAGGTTTAATCATTATTATGTCATTACAGAGAGGAGGGACTGCTGTATGTCTCTGCTGTAATTACCCAGAATCCCTCTGCTCTGTCAGCGCTCAAACTTCAGAGCTGGTTTGTGGATGTTTTTCTGACGTGATCAGGTCTTTTCTGATGTCTGATCAGTTTTCACATTAATCAAAGAACATGTGTGAGGATTCAACATCTGATCAAAGAGCGTCTGCTGAGTGTTTTCATGTTTCACCTCCTCACTGTAAATCTCAGCAGCTGTTCGTCTTCCTCACGCTCACATTTGTCAGACATGACGTTAACAGTGTTGAGCTGGGCTGCTGTCCAAATGCACATATTTCCTCTTCATGTGACAGTTTGACGTGTTGAATTTCCCCCCCTGTGGTCTAAACAAACAGATCTGACTGATTTAAAGACAGTAAACAGGCTGAAATAACGGCATCAGTGCTAATTTATTAAAGTCAGAATTTTTTAGCTTTGACTGGAAGATTTTAGGAAACAGCTCTAAAAATGATGATTTTCTGAATGAGGTTTGGTTTGATCCAGAGCCGGCCCAAGCTTCAATGGGGCCCTAAGCAAAATATGATTTTGGGGCCCTCTATTTCTGCCAATAATATTGATTGTTGATCATTCACACACCTTCACAGATCTCTTTGATTAACATTTCATTACATGCAAACATACCTTTATCTTGGAGTTTTTTTCTCCTCTTCTCCTTTCTTTTCTCTGCTCCTGAAAGAATATGTCCTTTTTGCAACTTTGTTTTGCCCCACAACTACCTGTGCTTTGGATATCGGCAGTAAGAATCATAGGCCTACATCAGCAGCAGAACAAAAATGTTTTTACTTTATTTTTTTAATATTTATTTGATCATACAGAAAGCATCACTTGTACCTGCAAAAATATGATTTTTTTTATTGCTCTTGGGGGCCCCCTATTGGGCTCGGGGCCCTAAGCAGGTGCTTAGTTCGCTTATACCCTCTAGTTTGATCATGTCTTCATCAGGAGTCACTGTGAATATGTATATAGAAAAGTCAGCTTCTACTTTATCGCACTCAAACCTGCAGCTGTAGACACATCATCACCGAGCCAGACTTCAAACATGATTGAAGAGTCTTGTGCAAAAACTTCTTTTCTCTATAAGTTTACAAACATTATTTTTCATAATAACTTAAAGTTTTATTGCCTTTTAATTTTTTTTTTGGATGCACATTGATTAAAGTATACACAGGAAACACCATCTGTGGAGCCAGATTCTCTACACCAAAAGTTACCTGCTGCTTACCTCGATACGCATACTCCCAGGATGTTCTATTTTGGCAATGTTGTTTCTCTTTCTGGACCTTTTAGAATATTTAGCTTCTACAGTCATGCTCATTCATAATTTAACACTGATCTACATTTGGCAACCATCAGTCCACTGTAATTGAAATCACAGTACATTTTTACTCAGAATATAACCATTACAGTCATGGAGTGGGAAAAACAATTTTTTAATTTCACATCTAGTAAAACGAACATTTAAAAAAAGAAAAAAAATCTATTTATCTATATAGAAACATAGCTACAAAGTATAAAGAACAAGAACAACAACATAAAGAAAATTCAACTAATACTAATACTGAAATGAACTATTAATATTAACAATTTTAAGAGATATATATATTTTTTAAAATTAGCCGGGTGATGTTCTGGTGGTGCCCCTCCCACCACGTCGAGCTGGTGCCTGTTTCAAATGGTCCCCAATCGATGCTGCGACCAGTTCCTCTGTTGCTGTCGGGAAGTTAGTGCGAACAGACTCTGCGAAAAGAAAAAAAACAAAAGAAACTAAAATCATAGTAAGTGTAGAAATTATCTAGTATTGTCCGGAAGAATTCTTCACTTTTTTACAGCTTCAGGCTTTAAATGAGTCAGTAACATGACCAAAAATAAGTAATAACTTGCAGAGATATAATTCATTTACCAAGAACAACTGTGAAGAAAGCAGTTTTCTTGAAGCTTTTTTTCCCCTGGCGTCCTCCACCCAGGAGGTTGTACTTCCTCTGCACGTCATTGTGTAAAATTCTGAAATGGATATCAAAGACAAATAAATCTCTTAAGGTGAGTTCACACCGGACAGGCAACGCAACTTGTCCTGTCTTGTGTCCTAAAACGTGTCACTTTGCCACCGTCAATTCGCGTTGCGCATTACGTCACACCCGCGCTAGGTTTCCCCTTGATCTCGTCGGATACCATGTCCAGCGCTGCTCTTTATTTGCAGAACAAGTCCCTAAAACGTCAGAGAAACCCTTGCTGCCGTTGCGCAAGTGCCTGTGTGAACGCACCTTAATACTGCTTACTCTTGCAATTCACTAAAAAGACTTGATAAACACCAACAATACATGATTATATTAATAACATTGTCTTGCTGTCATATTCATACCTGTCCAGGATCCTGCGTGTGCAGGTCTTGATGTCCTTCCCCCCAAGGTGTGACAGTTGTTTTATCTGTATGATATAATCAAATTATCAAGAGTGTCTAATGTATAGATTTCTATCTTTTTTAGCATCTCTATTTGACTTACAAGAAAACGTTTTATGCTGGGGTGCCTACTGATTTCCAACGACATGCGCTGAGCCTCCTCCAAAAGTCCATAACGGCAACTGACGTATCTGCTCACCCTCATCTTCAATGTCCCCCTGCTGGTTGAGCGATTTCAATTCATCGCAGATTTCCAAAAGTGTTTCCACGACCACCCGCTGGAACTCTTGGTGAAAAGATATGATTTAGTAACATTCAATTCAATAATTAGAATACATTACTTAACAACATTTTGTACTGTAGTTATGCCACTCTTACTTTTCTCAGGCATTGGGTAGGAATAAACCCTCTTCCTCGCTGCAAAATCCGAGAACGAGACATTAAATGGATGATGAGTGTGGTGCTTAACTTTGGCTGTTAAACACAAAATCATATGCTGTTGCACTATTTTAAAATAGCCCCCACCCTACTTAAAAACCACTGCTAAACCTGATAAATCCTTACCTTGAATCCAATTCAAAAATTCATCCATGAAATCACCCTCCCTAGCTCTTTTTCTCCGCCACTCTTTCAAATAATTAGAGGCCATATTCAATTTGGCTGGCTGGCTTGTTTTTTTAGTACAATTGGCAACTTGTGAAGCAGGACATAATGCATCATGAATATCTTCTACATTTGGTAAAAAATATGTTGATACCAGCACTTTCAGATTTTTACTATTGGCGTTTCCTATAGCACTGCTAATGCATTAACAAAATAATGTTGGAATAATTCAACTAATGCGTCCCATTTCTACCACACATAGTGAAAAAAAAATCTATGACAATTACAGTTAAACACAAATTTAATTATATGAAAAAATACCACTGGATAAACAAAAACAACAGTACTGGCATCAAAATAGGCTTCATTTTCTAATTTAAATGGATAGCCTAACTAGCAGCTTTTAAACTTGGCTCCAACAGAGAGAGCAGGCCCTTATTTACTTACATGACAACACACGTTAGCATGGACTGTTTGATGCTGGCTAAACTGGCCACAAGCTAGCCCTCGTAGTAGCAACCAGGCTACATGCGAACTCGAGTTTAACATTCACCGTCACGCATCATGATGCACGACGGTGTGAGCACCAAAGCTTGCAAAAATAAACATTTTCTATAATATCTGCTTCAGCACCCACCTCTTTTCAGCAGAAAGTATAACTCCCGAACTCCGCGACTCCTGGTACTTCTGATGTACTCCAACAGTGGTAACGCTCAAATGACGTATACATTGATACGTCTAAATCACGTCTAAAAATAGACCGAATCCCGACGTTGAAATAAAGTATAAATTTAGACTAGACGTCTACAGTATTATACGTCTTTCGCTCAGTGGGACACTCAAACCGAGGCGGTGGATTTCCACAGAGTAAATACGAAATGACGGTCACGTGGTTCAGAAATGAACAAATATGATTAAAAAAAACCTTCTATTGTTGAAATTAAGTGAATATAAAAGTGTAAAATAAGTGATTGCGGATGGATTAAGAGTTTAGAGGAATAAAATGCTTTTAGATGGTGAGAAAATTTCGGTTTGTTTGAAATTATGTAATTAATAACGCCCCGTGGGAGTGGTCACAGGGTTCAAAATAGGGTCACCTGAAGCTATCGGGCCATTCGCCAGCAAACTGAGAGGAAGCAACACCTTCGTCCAGAGCACAGGTAAGGACTCAGTTGGTGATCGTGACATGAAGCCTCCTGAATCATTATTTCCACGCATTTGCTTTACTCTGGTCTGAAACTGCATTTGCTCAACTGTGCCATCGTGGACAATAAATGTAAAACAGGCAGAGTGATTATCAGAGACACCCCCTTTGGTGTGCGAATCTCTGAATTGAATAAATGAATGAATGAATGTGACGCCATGTGTTTGAGACATCGATACAGAAATTATTAAGTTATTGATATTTTTGTCTGTCTTTAGGACACAGTAGCAGGGTGAAAAGGGGAACAGGACATAAATAGTAATGGAGACAGTTGTGATGTGAATGTGCTTTGTGTAACTCGGTTTGTGACTGTGCGTTTGTTACGGGGACAGCATCGAACACGTTAATATTTCATTCATTTTCATTAAAAAACAACTTTTGACAAGTCTTCGGACTTTTAGCGGTACTCCGTCGCGTTTCGCTGCCCGTTAGATTTTAAACCACCCGCCAAAACCGCGAGCCGGTTCCTGAATCACTCACGTGGTACGACCGGTGTTCTGCCGTAAATTGCACCCCTGCCGTAAAATGCACCCCCTGACGGAAGCGCGGTTGAAAGTACAGAACAAGGCATAATAATCCAAGTTTTCCCTACCATTGGATGAATTAAAAAGTGTATGCCTTTTAATGATTTTGTTCAGGTTGTCCAGATAAGCCGAAAACAACGGCCCTCTGATTGGGAATATTTGCTGTCCCGAAAATATAATGTTCTCTACCTTAACAGCGTACTGTACAGTTTATATACCCAAGTACACCTCTCTATGTGCATTTTTTTAGACACATAAAAACAGAGGGAAAGTTTGCTGCTCCATTTGACATGTTGTCATGATCTAATACTCGTGTTTTGTTTTAAATATAAGATCATTTTCTCCCACTTTAAGAAGCTAATGAGTGGAGGGGATGCATTCCACGGCATAACACCGACTCGCGAAGCTTCAGACGTTATCACATACGTCATGAACTCAAGCTTCGATACGCGCTTCGCCGAAATTTACTCGAAAAATTCGACTCATATGGTTGTTGTTTTTTTTTTTTTTCCTTAAATTGAGCCAAAAGAATGCAAAGCTCAAAAGCTTAATGATTGATTTTTATATTGGTGAATCTACAGGCATATACAATCTCTACTGAGCTAGTGTTTGAACAAAATGGTCTTAGGTACGCTTTCATATTTAAAATGCTTTTATTTTCATGGGATTATCATACAGGCCTTACGTGTTTAAGCACTAACAAAGTTAAACACAAGACTTTTTCCAGTAAATTTCCACTCTGGCATCAAGTTGTAGCTTGCAGAGGGTGTGTGTGTGTACACTAAATGTCCAGCAGATGGCGTTATTCAGGCCACTGGGCCTTAACATCCTCTGACAGCTACCCTAAACATGAATCCATGACACCTATAAAAACATGTTTTACTTTAATGAATAAGTTTGTTTTAAGGTTTACATGATGGTGCCATGAATATAATGTTCAGAAGACTGCATTTGGCCTTATTCTTATTTCTCTGACTGTATTAAAAGACGATAAGATCTCAAAGCCCAGTGTGAAAAAGCAAAACTGCTTATTCAGATCTGTCTTAGTGTACCCTGAGTCTGCAGTGGAAAGTGCTGTTGTTGGTGTGTACTAACTGTGCTTCTGTGTTTGTTTGGTTTTTTTCCAGCATGTTCCTCAGACCCCAGCTGACTTCATGTCCTCTCAGATGACTCCACTCCACAGAGGCCAAAGGTGAGGCTGAGGCAGGTATGCAACTTTATAAGTCCAGAAAGAAAATAAAGATGAGGCTTGAAAATGGTCTTTAAATGGTCTGATTTGGAGCATGGCTGCCAACCATCATGCAAACATGAGCTGTTTAAAATGACTGGTAACACTTTACAATAACATAACTTATAAATGGTAAATTGACCATTTATGAATGGTAAGAAGATAGTTTATTAATATTTAAATAATTTATAAATAGCATATAGGCCATAAATAGTAAATTTTACAATTTTATAAAAACCTTACCCCTAACCCTAACGTTACTATAGCCATTTAAGTAATGTTTATAGGTGGTTTATAAACCAATTATTAATCAATTATTATGGTTTGTAATTATTAATAATTATAAACCAATTTACAAAGTATTTCAAACATCAGTTACAACTTTACAATAAACCATCAAGTAATGTTTATAGATGGTTTAAGAACCAAATATTAACCATATACTGACACACGTTTTAATCTAGATGTTTTAAAACCAATATTTAAACCCTTTATAAACCTTTTAATAAATAGTCCGTTAATAATTAATAAAAATTATCAATCATTAAAGTAACAATTAACTTACATTAATAAACTATCTATTTGGCATTTATAATTGGTCTATAGGCTGTTTTTAAATGATGATTAAACTTTAATTATCTATTTACCATTTATAAATTGTAGTTATTGTAAAGTATTTAAAATGGGGCCGAACTCATAAACTTGTGTGAAAGCTGATTATTGAAGGAGGTCAAAGAGGTCAAGGTTTTTAATTCTGAGTCTTATATTCAGGACTTAAGGTTTGATGGTTGTGTATTTCTCTGTGTGTTAACCAGAAGCTGAAATTACGCTGGATCAAGTCAAACTGAGGCAGAACTCATGACTGTCCAACGCCTGGACCCCTTTAAGGTAAGACACTGACTACTTCACTCCACGGACAGACCATCAACGAGGGACACTGGAGGTCAGTTTGCTTTTGGTTTGACAACAGTCGCACCAACAAAAACAAGAACCCCACCATCAACAATCAAGCAGTGCAGTTGTTCTCTGCCCGAGTAGCAGGTTTTGGTCTAGTTTTGGTGATACAATTGTGGAGAGAAAGTTTTCTCTTCTGGGGTTGCAGGTTTTGGTCTAGTTTTTGTCTGCTTTGGTGATGCAATTGTGGAGAGAAGTTGTTCTCTTCCAGAGAAGCAGATTTTTGTCTAGTTTTGCTCTGTTTTGGTGATGCAATTGTGGAGAGAAACTGTTCCCTTCCAAAACCACAAAAACAAGAATCCCCACCATTAACTATCAACCAGTGCAGCAATATAGACCCCCAAAACAAGACTACTATCAGATTTAATTAAACAAAATAGCAACTCAGTCCTCAAAAACGTGTAAATCAACAAATTTACCGAAACAAAAATAAGAGTTCACTCAAATTAAAATTTAACTTCCTGAGGGAAGCTTTAAAATAGTCAGGATGCGTCACAAGGATTAGGTCTGATTTTGGCAATGCCTTTTTGGAAGGCAGCGTTTCTCTGCCCAAGTGGATACTCCTCCTCGACGCCCCAAACTACCTCAGATTTCCCCGACGTGCTTTTGGTCAAAGAAGAAAATGAAGATATAAGAAGACCTCCGAAAGGTGTGAAGATCTTCAACCAGGGATGGCTGCCCAGTGCAAGGACCCATTTGAAGGACATCAACCAGGTTGATTTTTCATACTGCTAGTTTTTTTTCCCTAATTTGTCTTGAAACTGTTGCTTTCACTCTTAAAATGAGTGAGATTGAAAATGAAAACCCAGTAATGTTAATTACAGTGGCTGTTACAAAGATAAGGATTCAAGGCTGTTGTAAGGATAATTAGACTGAAAACAAACCCTGCTAAACTCTAGTGCACAGTATTTTGCTGTGCTTTATTTTGACACTCTTGAAATGAATGACAACAAAAATGAAAACCCAGTAAGGATAATTAGACTGAAAACAAACCCTGCTAAACTCTAGTGCACAGTATTTTGCTGTGCTTTATTTTGACACTCTTGAAATGAATGACAACAAAAATGAAAACCCAGTAAGGATAATTAGACTGGAAACAAACCCTGCTAAACTCTAGTGCACAGTATTTTGCTGTGCTTTACTTTGACACTCTTGAAATGTATGACAACAAAAATGAAAACCCAGTAATGTTAATGATGGAAACAGGAGCCGCAGTGGCTGTTACAAAGATAGGGATTCAAGGCTGTAAGGATAATTAGACTGAAAACAAACCCTGCTAAACTCTAGTGCACAGTATTTTGCTGTGCTTTATTTTGACCTTGTAGACCAGTTTAGCATTTCTATTGATTGTAAGTTGTGCATAGTGCTGTGAGCTAATGCAGCAAGTACAACCTGAAGATACTAGAAGAATGATGTGGCCATCGAAAGGAGCGTGGAAAGACTTTGAAGAAGCGGGGTGAAGATGTCTGCACTACACCTGGACCAGTACCCAGGTAGAAGAAAACCTCTGAACAGGGTCTGTTTTTTTCTTCTTTTTACATTTGACTTCAATATGATGATCACACTCCAAAAAAACCCTAATGATAAAATGTTTGTTTTAATCTGGAGTGACATGAAAACGAAAAACCAGTAATGTTAACTTTGATGTGGTGGCAGTAACATCTGTCAAAACTGTAAGGATAACTATGCTGAAAATGAACCCAGCTAAACTTGTCAAGTGCACAGTATTCGACTGTGCTTTATTGATTTGTCAAGCTAAACTTCAATTCTTGAATAGTA